CAGCTACGACCCCCTCAAGGGCCTATATGAGCACACACGGCGTTCGTCGCGTATTGTGTCGGTCTTTGCTGCTGCAGTGCGATTGTTAAAATTATAATATATGCCTACCTATCTACGCGTATTAAAATATATATACAACTGCCGAGTCGCACAAATCGTTGTAATATTGTGTACAAAAATGACATATATATATACACCGCGAACGCCGCGTTATACATAATATTGTGCTGCAGTACATATTAAACGCGCCGTATACGTATCGTGACAGTTTTGTTTTTTTTTTTGAGACCTTTGAACGACCTTTTATACAAGTTTACAGATAATAGTAATAATATGTCGTGTAAAATTATCACACGGTCGCGTGTATATTATAAAATATGTATAATATTATTGCATTATACGAATCACGCTTTGCTTATGTGAGGTGTCTGTTTATTTTTCTATCCCCCCCCCCGAACTGCAGCCCGGACGATTCTGTGGGCCTCGAATGCCGTTCTCGATTATTATTATTATTATTATTATTATTATTAACGGCTAAACGCACTTTGCCCACTGTTAAATTTATTATTATAATATATAAACTGGAATCTGTTGAGAAACTCGCCAACATGTTTTTTACATTATTATAATACCGTATATAGTGATATAATATAGTGACATCAGTGTATATTATTGCAATGAACAGATAACAATATAATAATGTCGAAACTATATTATATTGTTCCATAATATAGGCATCTGGCCTATGAGTTTCTATATAAGCTACATCTCTAATGTAGTATGCGTGTGTTCAAAAATGGTTTCTTTCAAATTAACAATAAGATTTAATTTGTGGTGAGTCGGGTTTTTTATAATTTTTTTTTCTTAATGTCATCACGTTTAGCAGCCTCCCATTAACGTTGCGCAATGATTTTGTTTCGACATTGTGAAACAATAGGTACTATACACATTAATACTATATTATTATATGATTCTTCTTCTTTGTTTTTTTCCACATAATTTCGACGACGGCGTGATAACGCGTTTACGAATTGAAAACACAAAACTACAAACACCGACTATATATTGCACATAGACACTGTATATATTCTGCAGGTGTCTGTTTTTTTGCAACGAAATCTGCAATTGCAGCCAATTATTGGATTCTCGCGATTTGACGATACGCGTGTGTCCTTGAGTAAATCGAATATGATAATAATTGGAATTGCGCATTAGAGTACTCTAGCAGCTCAGCTGCTGTACCACGGTGTACCTAATAATATAAAAACAACAGTAAAACCGTAGGTCGCGTGCGGTCTCGATCTCGGGAAATCGGCGGCACGTGCTCTTCGCGTATGAATAGTGCGCGGATTTTTTTTCCCGTCGATCGGACAATGTCATTTGGATCGGTCGGGGGGAAAAAAACCATGAAAAAATCATAATATGCACTGCAGTGATGATTATTCGCCTAATCCCCGGCAGCTATATATAATATGTACTAATGTACTACTACTACTACTACTATTATTATTATGATTATTATGTATCGTCTTTCCCGGTTTCCGGTCGGGCCCTTTATACATTTTTGATATTGTGTCACTCCTCCGCGAGCGTACGCTACACACGCGCAATAATCTAAAACAAATACTTACATATTATTATTGTTATATATTGCGTCATGTACCGTCGGCCGAGATTAGCTGGGGACGGCGGCGATGGGTGGGGTGGTGTGGGGAAGGGAAAAAAGAAGCGCAGTAAATCCAAACATGTATATTATATAGTTGTGGTGCATAATTAGAACGCAGTTTCATTGTTTGCATTCGGTACACCACTCGTAAAATAAAAAAAAAATAATAATAATAACGACAGACACACGGCGAGGAGGGAGCAGCAGGGCTGCAGAAGCACACACAGTTCACTTTGAAGTATATATATTGTCAACAATGATACACGCACGTCCCCGCGATGCCGCAAGAATCGACGGCGGTCTTCATAATACATTATAATATATAATATGCGTAAAACGTGAGCGCAGTGTTGAAATCTCCTGGTCTGCGGTTCCCGGTGCAACATCCTCCCTCGTCCATGTTATTATACGATTGCCCCCGAGACGTCGTCGTTTTAAACGATATCTTCATTGTTTACCGAGTGGCGGTGCCGGTTGACGTGGAATAAGCGTTAGAATAAAATATGAAGTGAAAAAACCCAACGGTAAAGTAGAGAGGGTCTTGTTCTCGACGGGAAAGCGGTTATTATTTTATTTTTAATGTGAATATAATTTATACTTTTAAGCTTTTTTTTCTTCAGTTTTCCCGGCCGCAGGCATTTTTTTTTTTGTGGTAAAACAACGCCATCCGATAATGACAAACGTGAAAAGTCGTCCGCAATCGATACTACCTATCACGAATTAAATATTGAAAAGGGCTTTGCAACGGCAGCGGCGGTGGTGGTCGTTGTAAACACGAGGCGCGCGGTTCAAAGACCGCAGCGTTGGCGACCGAGTTCGTTCAATATTCATAAATGAACTTCGCGCCCCCACGAAATACATAATAATAATAACAAAAATCTTTTGCGCCACAAATTTCGGGTCACGTCTAAAAAAAAAAAATACGACAAAAAGAATAATTTAAAAGCATTTTCTTTTTTATCCTCGAAGCGAGCATTGTATAATATGAATAAGTCAACAGAAGAGAGAGGTGACGTAGCCGTAAGTGCTTTTGCCGAAGCCAGCGGTAAACCCACTTTGCACAAGAACACCGCAAGCAAGAGAGATGAAAAAATATATATATTTACGCATGTACTGCCACTTCCACCAAAAACCTCCCGCTCGCTCTCCTTGAATATTTTTTTCTAATTTGTTCTTTATGTAAGCCAAACACAGCCCGATTTTTTGTATAAAAATTAGCGACATTTTTGCATCCCGAAATGTACCTATTTTCGTTACGTTTTGTCGATGCGCGCGCGTGCACACACACTCGCACTATATACTGCACACTATTATCCGGTCGAATTGCTGCCGTCATGTATATATGTCAGTGTGTGTACGAGCGAGAATTGTAGTATAGGCGTTAAATAATCTAATAAATAATAATAAATCTAAAGAATTGGATGGTTGCCTCCGATGTCACCGCTATATAGGCTCCACTGCCACAAACTTTCGTATAATACGACAACGACGTCGACGACGACGACGACTGTATATTATTATATTTTAAGTACTGGACCGTTGCCACGATTTCGCACTTTGTCTTACGGCCATAATCTTTTTAAAATGCCCCACGCTCGCTGGTGTGTGTGTGTGCACAAGTGCACAACCGTACAGCTGAGAGCTGGACAGAATATGAACAAACGATGTATATATTTTATACACATATACCTCCGCTTGACTATATGAGCCGTGTCTCCGAATGACGAGTGGAGGCGATCTATTTATTTTGGAAATGGTACTTATACGATATTAAATAGTAGGCGCCGGAACGTACTAAATCCTTGCGACGCAAGTAGGTAGGTCTTACCGTTTCCGGCCATCATCTGCAGTTCGTCGTCACTTCCGGTTAGATTCGCGCGAGTTTTTGGAATGACGCGTCGGAGAAGACGATATACCACGTTGTGCCACACACGCGTATAATAAATTATGTGTGCTGCCGGTTTATTAATTTTTTCTGGATCGTTCCGGTCGTCATATGATCCGACCACCTGATGCGGCGATGAGTGTGACGACTTTATTATTTTTATTTTTTTTTTTATTCATCGTTGTGCGTTGTTCGGGCGTAAATGGAAATCGAACTGCAATGATATTGAGATGATTCACCGCGGTCGTGACGAAAACATGTGTTTTAATCGCAACCGGAAACCGGAACACGCGCGACGACATATTAATAAATAAATTAGCACATGCGGCCCGATATTCCTGCCGCGGCTAGCCGAGACGGTTTTCGCCAGAAATGAGAATAGACGTACGAAGTTGGGCGGCAGGATGTGCTTCAGTGTATATATACTATGTGTGAATAATATAATATATTTTACGCTATATGAAGCCCGATGGTGGGGAGGGGGTGTGTCAGTAACGGGAGAGCGCGGACGAGAGCTGGGAAAAAAAGATTTTTAACTATTCGGATGATTAAAGCGGAAAAAAATCGTCTACCGTCTTAAAGAACAATAAAACTGTCACGCGGGGGAGTGTGTAAACGAGACACGAGAAAAAAAGACCCGCTGTCCCTCGACAGTCGTGTGCAGAATTAATACACTTGGCTCCGATGTGTGTAACACGCATGCTGCGTGCACATATAATATTATAATACATATATATATATATATATATATATATAAATATTATACATGTATATCAGTATACGTTTTATTTACGTTCATTAATCAAGCGCAGTTGTAGTATAGACTGTTGCTGCTTCGGAGTATATTATAGTGCGTCAATAGTATAACATGTTTAGTCTGTTGTTCGTCTTCAAATATTATTTCATCAAATTATTAACTAAACAGTGAGTATACCTGGGGACTATATTGGCAATATCCCTCGCCCATATTATACTGTGAAAATATAATAATTGGCAATATATATTTTACAATAATTATCGATTCTGCAGTGCGATCCTTGGAACCCGAAAGAGTACATTTCATACTTTCGTCTGTATCAAAAACAATCTGGTCCCATTGTTTGACACATATTAAAAAATATGTTTACGACCTAAAGCTTTAATGTATAGTTCTGCTAATTGAGGGTTTTGAGTATATTCGTTTTATTATTTAAACTAAAATAGAAATATATTTTCGTCGTAAATCATAGTTATATAACTATATGTAAGATTTAGTTACCATTTGAAAATACTCGTAAATCGTAATACAATATTATACTGCCCAGCACGACATCAAGTTATATAAAACTTCGTATTTTATACTATGATGAATATTTTATTTTGGTGTTCGTTTTTTAAATAAAACAGAATTGTTTGTAAATAAGTGGTTTCTTCATGATCTTTAACAATCGTGTTTTTTGCTTTTTTCAGTTCAACCACCTGAAAGGGATGCCGAGCCTTCCGAACCCTCAGTCGCTGTTCTTCCTGCCGTTATTGGACCAACTGCGTGGCCTGTCGCACTGTTCCAACGCAGCGGCGATGGCCGGTCAACAACAGCAGCAGCAGACTTCCACCACCACGGCGTCCACCAATTGCAACGTGAGTACCTCTATCATGATTCGACTTAATCTAAACTACAATTCTTCTTCTCGGTCCGTCTTTTCGGCCAACTCTTCTGTGGGATTTTCAATTTTCGTTGTTATATACCTAATCATAATATATATCATATTATAATCTACATTTTTTATTTTTTATTTTAAAACTAACAATCTGTATATGTATAAAACACGTTAGAAAAGTAGACACAAGACACCCAATTATGACACTTTTTTTATGAAATTGGTGAATTGTGGTTACAATAAAAATGTATATATTTAATATACGACACCATATTCCATGAATGATTCGGAATTTAGAGTTGATATTAAGGGATTTGGATGGCTGGTTAGGCAGAAACGAACAAACAGTCGTATATGGTATACCTTTGCGGTTTCTGCAGATATAGGCATCAATAGAGTATTGTTGTAACAGAGTAGCTATGTTTTTATGATGAGTTTAGAAAGTTTGCGGACTAAGTAACAGAAAGATTTCAGCGTCGAGTTAAGAACTATTGGTTTACTTTTTATATACGGTCAGCCCAGGTTAGACGTTGGTCCAGGATTAAACCTTAGAAGCTAGAGCTTGTGGATTTTATATCAACTCGGAATTATTGACATATTATATAATTTTGGTCTTCGATTTTCACATCAGGTCATGCCGACAGCCGTGTGGTCCAACAACGGCAGACCACCGTCGACGTCGTCGGCCAGTCAGTGTTCCATGCAACTGCAACAGGAACAGCAACATACGCCGCCGCCTGCTCAGGCGCAGCAGCAACAACAGCTGCGACACCCGACGACGGCCGCCGACCCGGACGCGCCGCTGAACCTGACCAAGCGAAAGTCGCCTACGCCGCAGCCGCATCCTCCGTCGTCGACGACGCCGCAACACCACCACCAGCATCTCCAACAGCAGCAACAGCAACACCACCACCAGCAGCAGCAGCAACAGCAACAGCAACAGCAGCAACAGCAACAGCAGCAACACCATCATCTCCAGCAGCAGCAACAGCACCAGCAGCAGTTACAACACCAGCTGCAACAACAGGCCAACAACATGTTCGCGCCTAGGAGTTCTGGCGGCGCCGGATGGAACTCGTCTTCGTCTTCGCCGCCGGCCACCACGCCTGGCACTGCCAACAGGCGGTCCGGTTCCGGTCAGGGACTGGTCAGCCCGCCGGCCGCGGCCACGCCGAAACTCCTGCCGCCGCCCATACCGGTGCCTAGAGGATTCATGCCGTACGCCGGCATACCACCGCCTCCTCCGCCGCACCACTCGTCTGCCGGTAAGTGCAGTTTTTCCTCGATCACCACCGAATTCGGTACACAGACGTGTCCAAACGTTTATATACCGCGGTTACCCACTAGCTATTACCTACAGTTAAACATAATCTACAATACGAATAGGCGCAAAATTTAATATATAGGAGGTTGGTATACGTACTATAGTATGGGTTTAACCGACCTAACCTCCTTTTTCATCAACCGGTCTTCGAGTAAACGAGTCATTTAGATTTTAAAAGAATAATGAAAAATTCCTACCTATAGAATTATATTATTATGTATTTACGATGTCCGCCAACCTGTTGAACCGTCGGGTACTCGGGTAACACGTATTATTGGAACGTCAGGAAAAAAATCACATTATACTATAGTATAATAATACTGTACGATGAATATAATATTGTGTTATAACTTATTATAATATTATATCAGTTCGTTAAAATAAACATATTTCTTTTCAGAACCGACGTGAGCGCTATAAATCGTACGAGCCGACGAAAATTGCGGTCGCGAAAATTCAGACCGCATAAATTATTTTCGTGCGAGCGTTGGAAATCGGTTTATTCGAAGTCCGGCGAACCGTTAATGACTTATTATTCGCATTATCGACGTACCTATATGGCTATATACTAGCTAGCTCACGGTTCAATGCAATAATTATTCTCCCGAGTTATCTGCAGCGCGCACCTCCTGCTGTTGTTTGATAATTTGAAAACGAGAATAATATTATAATTTATAATTGTATTCGTTTCGTATTAGATTAGACACAATATATATTACATTAGTACCTACACCCATGGGTACATTATTATAATATGTTATAAAGCCCGCGAAGGCTGTTTCCGCCACCGTCCAATATTTCATAAACATCTCTCTAAACAATAATAACGTAAAAAACGATTAACGCGCGTCCCCGGCGCCTAAATGCAGGCACAACTGTTCAAGACGTACCTAAACGTGTTTGATTCGTACGCATTTTTATTAATTGTTTCGGCGGATCGTTAGGCGCGTAACTGAACAATAAAGGTGTCGCCCGACGACTTTTGGCGCCGCCTTTGGGTCAATCGTCGGCGTTTGGTCGCTTAAACAGACGTTATCGGCGGTACACGTCCGAGGTCAATCAATAAATAGCGAACCGTTAAAATATCATGTAGCCTACTATTTTGTAATTAAATCATTATAGTACGCGGATTTGATAGCGCGAAAGACATTTAAAAATAAAGAGTAAACACAAATACATATAAATAGATATATTATATAATATTGCATAATTCAATACAATATAATATATGTATTAAGGTTCCAGTTCATAATGTGCTATTGTGATCGGACCAAACAATACAATAATTACTAACGTGCACGTATTCGCAATATTTGCATAATATTATAGAGATAGAGATAGTTCAATCCTAGTACAACCACCGGTAATGAAATACGTGTTCGTAAAAACATAATAATAATAATATAATCGCATCGGTGGAATTAATATAATGTGTTATTTAGAGCGTACTTTGAACCGGTTCGCCTTATCATCTGAACCGTTCATCGATCGCGATCTAATTGAATATATATAGGTATAGGTATATATAAAAAACCTCGTGTAAAAATAATGTAGACGAATAAATTAGAGACTAAAGTTCGCACTCAATTAAAAGTTAAAACAAATATAATATTATAATATAATACAAAATAACGCTATTATTATGATTATTGCTATCGCTATATATCATTATACCCGATAATTACTCACGTAGCCAAATTGATATTATTATATTGTTGTTGTCGTCATGTGGTGATTTTTTTTTTTAATCTCAGGTGGCAAACTAAGCCTGTCGCCCGGCAAGGACAAGATGTCACCTTACTCGGGATTCCAACTGTGTCCTCCTCAGCTCCTCAGGGACGAACATTCCGAAAACATGGATCTATGTAAGCATAATAATTTTTTTCTACAAACGACTTATATTCTAAGGTCCTCGATAGTGTAATGTAAAACAGTACGGTATTTAACACGTGTTTTCAATTTTTTTCCCACAGCTTGGGGACCCAGTGATCCAAATTTCAAACTCACCGACGACACAAGTGACAGAGGTGAGTGTACAATAGAACCTAACCCAATATACAGTGAAACTTCAAAACTATACTTATAATTCTTGTGGGCAACAAAAAGAAAATTCATACTATTGAGAATGTTGTTGAATGTAAAATTAAATAAATTTTGGTTCAAATCCCTACTAACCAGTTAAATTATCAACAAGATAACGTTAAACAGAAAATGTTGTTAAATGAAAGTTTCACTGTATTATAACACATAGTACCCACTGCGCTGCCCAATGACGCCGCAATACGATGGTTGATTGTATAATATAATATTTTGTTTTTGGAAATCACAGGTCGCATGATACGGCAGCAGAAGAAAGACGGCGAGCACATCAAGAGACCTATGAACGCGTTCATGGTTTGGGCCAAGGACGAGAGGCGAAAGATCTTGAAAGCCTGTCCCGACATGCACAATTCGAACATTTCGAAAATATTAGGTGGGTAGAGATGCTGTTTTCTCGATAAGAGAACTCGGTGCCACTGTGGCAAATTATTTGTTAAGTACCAAAAGAACGATACCAAAATTGACTCTTAAGTACTTTCTTTGCTGATGCCACAATGGGAACAGAGTTATTTGGTTTTTTTTTACTCTTGTACCTACCTATAAACCTGATGATAATAATCGCTTGTTTTTTGGCTGCAGGTGGCAGGTGGAAGGCAATGTCGAACGCGGACAAGCAGCCGTACTACGAGGAGCAGTCCAGACTGTCCAAGTTGCACATGGAAAAGCACCCGGACTACCGGTATCGACCCAGGCCGAAGCGGACGTGCATCGTGGACGGCAAGAAGATGAGGATATCCGAGTATAAGACGCTGATGCGACAGCGCCGGAACGAGATGCGGCAGCTGTGGTACAGGGGCGAAGGGGCCGGTCCTTCCGGTTCCGGGCCGGACGTAGCCGGCACCAGTTTCGGGTATCCACCAGACGGGTCCATATCGCCGGACCTGATGTACTCTCCGGCAAACTCGCCGTCCTTTGGCGGCGACAGTCACGACGAGGACTAAGCGACGGCGGTGCAGTAAGCCGCTTGCACCACTGTCGCTATCGTTCGCCTGGTGTACAGTGTTGTACCTACAAGAGCTTTGCGCGACGCCATCGCGTTCGAGTCATCGCCATCGCCATGATGCGCAGCTACCGCGGTCATCGGTGCAGGACACCACTGCTGCGCAGCTACCGAGGTTATCGATATACTGCAGCTGCTCTGCCGATCGACACCCACTATTCCTCCACGCCACGTCCAAGTCGACCGGCGAAACAGGCCAGTAACCCCCACGACTACCAACAGTACCTGTATTACACTATATATATGTATATAATATTATAGTGCAGCGTTAGTAGACATGGAAATAGTCAAAAGTAAACCCCCTAATCCTCATGTGTATGAACCAATTTTTTTTTCTTAATTACCGTGTACAGAAAATTGTGTAAATTATTATTATTATTTTTATTATTATTATTATTATTATTATTATTATGATTTTCTAATTACGCGATTTTATTATTATATAGTTAAACGTAAAAGCCGAGAAAAAATTCGAAAAAAAAAACAGAATTATATCGCGTTCACGATATTTATGTGTTATATATATTTTAGTGGTTATGATTCGAGTGTATACAATATTATTATTATTATCATTATCATTATTATTATTATATATTATTATTTTATACATATTATAATATTATATAGATTATAAAATAATAAAATATTGAACATGTAGGATTTCTTTCGCACCTGTATTATAGTATAGGTAGGTACGTTAATTATATTTTGTACAGACATAATTTAGTTTAATAATATAATGTATAATATCGATTATGATTAATCGAAAAAATATGAGAAATTCCAAAAAAAAAAATAAAGAAAAAACAAAAAAAAACGTCGTCTTATAATAGCGGTTGTACCGATGTGACGTGTGTTTGTGTGCGTGTGTATAAATATGATAAATTTTTTTGTGATAACGTTTCATTACCTCGTCCGCGCGTAGTACCTATGCGTATAATATAATACATTTGTTGCGTGCGTAGGCGTATCGCACCTAATACCTACAATTACTTATATATATATTATTATTATTACATATATATATATATATTGAGTGAGTTCGTGAGTAGGTAATATCTTTATATTATTATTATTATTATTATTATTATTATTATACAATAATGACGTGTCGTACGAGACGGCGGATCGAGCGCGGCGACAGAATGTAATAATATAATAGTAAATTGTAATAATTATTATAATATCGTAATTATATTGTTTGTATTGTTTGTATATATATTTCACATACATATATATATATATATATATCGAGTAGTGCAAGCATAAACGCGTAATGTTATATTGTAATATACTTTGGGTTTCGTTTTTATTTACTCCAACTGGGACGAGATACGTGCTTGTACCTATATATAATATAATACATATACATACTTACATACGTTTTTGGTACACATGAGTACGGCTAGTCGGCGTCGTCGGCTTTATGATCTCTGTTTTTATTATTATATATGTTTTATTAATTGTATCGTGTTTGTATAAACAATATTTTTTTTTTTGTAAATGTAACCTTTTTTTTCACTACCTATTCATATTTTGTACATACATAGTTTTTTGATTCATTCGTAAAAATCGGACTCTTTTACACACGTCATTTGGAAGACCCTGTATATCTATAAATTGTGCATAAAAAAATCGAAACGTATAAAGTTTTTAAGACACAATATATAACAGTACTTATATATATGTATCTATATATACGTTATGCGTATATGTTGTACACATAAAAATAAAGTAGATAGATTAAAATATTGTTATTATAATAATACGTAGGTAGATGTATTGAAATGAATTTCGCTATTTATCTTCTCTGCAGACATGGTCTCACGATCCCATCCCTCAAATTTATCAGGTTCAGTCGTCAAAGCTTATTTTTCGAATCCTCGACTGTATAAACTTTCCCGCTACAAACGTTTGTTTTTTGTTGTTTTTTTTTTTTTTTTGAGTATACCCCTCTCTTGTGGATATACATTTTATTTGATTTATATATATTATATAATATCTTACTACAGTATTATGATTATTATCAAGTCATAATATTTGAATACGAAATAATATGTTTTGATATTATATTACAAAAGTCTGTTTTACTTTAATTATTATTATTATTATTATTATTTTATTATTATTATTATTATTATTATTATTATTATTATTATTACTATGATTATTTTGTGTAGATACGATATTATATTTTTTGTATTGTAAAATTTTGACGAACGATTTCGTAGACCGATTGTTCAATATTGTGTACAAAAAAAAAATAATAATAATAATAATTAATTTGTAAAATAATTGTACGACCGACGTCGGTCGAGCGCAACGGAATTCGTCGGAAAGTTAAAATCGCCGTTGTACAATTTTCCTTTTTATTAGCTAAATGGTGTCGTCGATTTGTGTACAGTAATGATAATATACATTTATAATAATTATTATAAATAAACGTAAGTACATACATATTATATAATATATTAATATATTATTATTATTATATAATATAATATGAAGTATTTCGTAATCCCGTGTGTTGTACCATGTAATAGTGTGTGTATACAATTTAGGTAGATAGTTATTTATTTTGTTTCTTTTATTGTCTGAATTATTATAATAATTAATAAACATATTATTATATGATAATATTATTCTTTGTCAACGTGTTGAAAGAGAAAACAAAAACAAATAAAAAATAAATTCAATAAACAAAAATTGAACAAAATATAGTAAACATGATGATATTATTATTAATCGTTTTTATTTTACGTTTATTGTTTGGTGAAGCCTGGCCATCCTTAGGTATTTTTAGATAAGTTACCGACTTATTGAAAAATCCAAGAAATATGTAAAAAAAATTACATATAAATTCTATCGTGTTGTACAGAATTTTTTAGAGAGAAAAATCTATCAAACACGTCATATTTTTACTTTTGAATGTTAAGAGATGCATTTACGTTTTTATGAGTACCTACTTATATTGTAATGTAGTTACACCTGCAACAATTACACACAAAACTTCAAAGTGAATTATTTTAATTTAAGTCCTATTTATAAACGATACATATAATATAATAATAGCATTTTATTCCAAGACCACATTGGTTCCGGTAAACCAGTTTCTGCACACATTAGAAATTGTAAAAGTAGTTTTTTGTCAACATTTCCTACACTGAATTATTCCTTAAGAGGATGCCACACTCGCGTGTGTTGTCTCCGTCTTTCAAATGTACGACATAACAAAAACTGTTTTGCGCGGGACAACTTTTATCTTTCTGTGTTTGTGGCAGTGGCTCCAAAATTTCTGTACATATAGAGAAGAAAATTATCTATGCAACAGCGTCAGCGTGCCTATATTTTAGATAACATAAATACAATGAAAATTATTTGCTTCTAAACATTTTGTTTTTTTTCATCTGTTTATAAAAAATGATTGGATAGTGTAATTAAAAAAAAAGCACACTGTTGCGCAGATAAAGTTCTTCTTTACGTGTTGTGAAAATTTGATAGTTCTACAACAAGTATGGTGCGGTAAATATTTTCTAAACGTAATAAATAATCAAGTACGAAAAAATGTAAATAACAGTATTTGTTGAGACGCCTTGAAGTGTGACGGTACACAACACAAGTACCATACTTTATTGTTACTAAATTTGATTAGAAATACTCGTAACATAATATAATCAGCTTCGATCATGAACTAGATCCAACCATTTAATACTAGTAATACTACCGGTCCAAAATCAAAACTTACAGTTGGCCAATAGTAAACAAATATTGGCAAATATATATATGTATATTAAATATATTGCAGAAATTAGGGTGGCTGTAAATTAGTGATGTCACAGCCCACAGGGAAGTTTATAAATGTATAATAGGTATAAAAGCTATGATAATTAATTTCCGTGAACAACAGTGAATAGTGATTAATAAATGAGTTACTGATCTATTTAAATATAAAATCAAAACAAAAAGCGTGAGTTGTACGGATGTGTACAAGACATAAATTATAGACATATTAAACGTAGAACGTGAGCAATAATTACCTATACAATGATTTTATTTTATTTATTCCAAGTACGGGGATGTTGTAACTCTTCTGAATAAAGGTGAGTAAATGTATTATGATTTTTTTTGAATAACATTATTCATGAACGCTTCTTCGAAGACCTAAAATATATGTAATGTATGATCATTAAGGACTTCAATGATATGAAGTTAAGCTAGGCAAGTTAACCAGAATATTATTTTAGAATTCTGAAATAGTGCGATTCACTACTTGACAGTGACAATACAATTCAGTAGGTACTAGGTGCCTATTTAGATTTGGTACATATGAAAATTATTGTTCATAAAAAACTAACGTCTTAGGATAAACTTATTATATAGTATAATCTTAAACCATGATTACTATAAATATAGTATAACCAAAATTATAGTTCAAAACAAAAACAATGTATAGGTACTATTTTGTGGTTAACTCTATAAGTTACTGTTTAAGTTATTATTTTTTATTAACTAGGTAAAATGTCCGACTTTATGAAGTGTCGAAACAAAAGAAAAATAATTAGAACCAGTTTTTTGGCAAAACCGATTTGATTTTTTTGGTGTAACGAACAAAAAATAACCGTGTACAATCCGTGTAGGACCTACACTGTAGGTACATGAAATACTCGTCAAATGTTTGGATTTGCTTTTTCAAAATTTTCAAAATATTTTGACGCTTTTTGAACTACTTATATTTTATAGGCATGACAACATTTTGAATTCATCAGTTTTTTTTATTAAGTTTGATTGAAGAAAAAACATTTTGTTCAGTCAAAAATCCTAAAACGATAGGCTGATTTCACATTACGCGTTTTAAATTTGAATATTTTACTCCATTACTTGTCTTCCATCTATAATAATTTTATTTTTCTTCATGGCTACCTACATAATATTTCTATTATCAGCTATGTATAGACCTGTGGCAGTGCACAATGTACATCGTACGATGAAAATATTATAATCCAATATTATTTCAATACCAATTTCTAAAAATACACAGCAATACGTCTTTAGTGTGGATGTCAAATGCACAGGGAAACCCAAGCGTGTCCCTCTATCACCAGCCCCCCACCCCCCACACACGACGCATCAAAAATCCACCAGGTTGCTGCTATGCACCGCTTTGGACTAGGTATCGTCTATTTGTATCTTCTTGACTTCAACCGCCAAGACTCTTTAGACCAAATTGCCGTCGATGAACGAAACCGCTGTCCCTGCCATTTTTGTTTCTCGAGTCTCAGCGTTCCAAGGCCTGATCGATTCTGAAGAAAAACTTTTTTTTTCGCCGTTGACGCTCTGTCTCACGTCTACGACAGGATTGAGATCGCGACTCCTACGGCGGTGTCGTCAAAGTCGCGTTTTTACGGTAACCATAGATCCTGGCCGTACGCTCTCTGACATTCCAGTTGATACCGTGACGACACCTGCTTGTCTGACGGGACCGTGAAGTGGCCGTCATGGCAACATCGCTAAAACTCGAGAGATGTCTACCGTCTACTTCGTCCGCGTCTGTCGTGGTGTTGCCCGACCACTACGTCGAGAACGATCCAATCATACAAACGATTCTTGAGTTCAAGGCATCAGAATGCAAATTGCCCAGGCACGAAAAACTGTTGAAGCTATCCAGTAAATCCTCCTGTCAGGTAGTTACATAGCTCACCTCGCGTCAACCCAAGTCACGCTAACCCTTCTCAAATTGTTTTCATCCGTACCTTTGGTCTATCATATTTTAATTTCTTTCCAGACTTTTGAGTGATAAAAATAGTCTAATTGGTCAAACATTTTTTTTGCGCATAAATATTTATTTCTAATATTTTAGTTTTAATTTTAGCCTTATTTATACCTCCTATAATAAGTGCACGCACTTCTGAAATTGTACATGTATAAATTACAAATTACCTAATTAGAATTTAGGAAGGATTAAAAATGTGTGCACTTTTACAGATATTGTACTGTGTCAATGAGTTGAGGTTTTTCGACAAGTAGATTAATTCTATATTTCATTTAACTTTATTTTTAGGATTCAAATTGCCATTGTAGTGGATGGCGAGGTAGGCGCGATAATCGTTTGATGTCTTCAACTTGTACAAAATCTGATTGTAATCATCCTCTATGTGAGTAAAAGTTTAGAAATAAACCATTTAAAATATGCATTATGTAGTTACTGCAATTTTCAATGCAGACACTAGAAACATTTAGGTATAATATAATGAAAATTTAATTCAAATTTAGTATGATCGTAATTTTCCTAACCACTTCCTATACATTTTAAGAATTATTGATACTAATTGAATGGGTACAATATTAACTAATTCTTTAATTGCTACTCTAACTCCAACTATTTTTACTATTATACCTATAATATTAAAAATAACATACTTAATCATTTTAATAATTGGTTTTTACTATTATTTATTATGTTTTAGATTCTCATGTATCACATTTAGAGAGTGCCAAGGAAGAACAGTTGAATACCTTACTAGGATTAGTATTTGATCTCGATAATTTAGCAGTTACTGTAAATAAAGATTTAAAAAAACCAAATATTGAGAGAAATTATGTAGAAGAAGACACATATAGTGCAGTTTATCATGTAAGTAATGTTTAAAATGTTATCACATTTTTAACTTTCTAGAAATAATTTAAATAATTTTGGTTTTAGGAATTACGAAATTTTGTATATCCCGGATCTTGTATTACACTTGAAAAATTATTTGGAACTCCACCATTTGAAAATCCAAATATAGTTAAAGTTTTAATGAACTTTAATATGCTTAAGTTTGGTCATGACAGCTCTGTAAGTCGAACATTAAATTACTAAATACTATTATATGTTTTCAATTTAAAATACATATTATGTAATATTTAAATAATTTTATAATTATAAAAATAAATGTCATATTTCAGCAACTAAAAATTGCTTTAAAAATCAGTACATTTGTAACAAAGTATTTTGATCTCTGGAAATTGACTTCTCCTAAGGAATTGCCAAATTGTAAAACATTTCAATATAGGAAAAATTATGAATTCTATTATCAAAGGTAATGTATAAGCACAGAATAGGTGAAATCTCGCCCATTCTGTGATATAAGTACCTATCAATAGTTGTATATATTAAACTGTTTGCACTAAGTAAATATTTTTATAATATATTGTGGCTTTGTGTTTTAGATATTTAGTATTTTGTCTACTACCCAAATATCTTCATTCGATTGCACCAAGTTATAAAATGAGTTTGATATTTGGTCAAGACATTCTTATGTACACATTAAAATCATTTAGAATGTATTTAACAGACTGGTGTCATGCATCAGCTTCAAAATGGTCAAATCATCAAAAACACTTTTACATGAGCTATTTACCCAAGTAAATAATTAATTTAATTTAAAAAAACTTTTTCAAACATATTTATTTAGAAATACATGACGTTATTTTTTTTTTAAATCTTAGATACATGAATTTATTAGAAGAAGAAGTGTATGCTGTTCATTCTCCAATATGGGATTTGCATTTTAAAAATTCTGGTCTACAAAAAATTATTCTAACTAGTAAACAAAATAATTCTTCAATATGTACCTATTGTTTTAATTATGTCTTTCTATTACTTAATTTAAATCTATTATCTTTACACTTTAGATTCCTTGGACTCAAAGCTAGATGAAACCAACGAAGCAGAACATAGAGATGGTAAAAAAAAAGATAAACATCTGAATGAGTATGTATGATTTATACAACTGATAAAGTTTAAAGACAAATATTACCTACTTTTAATTTAAAGAGACTAATTGGTACAATATTTTTGTATTATTAACTTAAAAAAGTATTATTCTGATGTTTCCTCTCCTTTATAGTTAACAATTTGAAAATAACCATATAAGATTATTACTAATTTTCAAAATAAATTTGTTTAATTTATATTTTAGAGATATGTCAATGAAACTAAATGAAAAACAGAGTATTGAAGATATTTTATTAGAAGAAAAAATGATAGACATTCTGAAAAATGTTCAAAGTGAGCCTATCACTTACTCTAAGGTAAAATTTAATACTTATTTTAGATGTTTATATATTTAGTTATAACTATGAAAATAAATAATTTTCCCATCCCATTATTGTATTATTGAGAACCATCATCACAAATAATCGTTATATTAACCAGATCATAGAAATTAGTATTTTTTTGCCATATTATTTATTTTTAGTTATAAATCAAGTTCTTTACAAATATTCATTCATCATCTATTAAAGTTATTTATTTTTTTTTAGATTATTTACATAAACAATAGTACATTTTGTTTAATATTCTTACGTTTGTTTTTTGAGTATTTTAGTATACTTTTAAGCTGTAATTTTGCTATTCGTTAATATTATCTTCTTGGTGTTCATAATTATTTGAAAGGTATCTTTAAAGCTTAAATGTTGCAACTTATAACTTTTACTAATAAAGGTTACTTAAATTATTTATTTTATTGTTTAATGGTTGAATCTTAATATTTGTATGTTCACAATACATTGTTTTAAGCATTTGAATTTTTGTTATTGAAACAAAAATAATTTAGGAGTTTGGATTAGAAACTGGACCTAGAGGACATCAAGCTCGAACAGAAGAAGAGCATGGAAGTATACGCTTTGTTGTTATAGGTAATTCAATAAACTCCAAAGTCGAAAAAAGTACTATGTTGTGGCTTATGCTACTAAGAAATTTGTTTCGAATTCAATTGCCAAGAATGCCCGTTAGGTACATCACTCGATTAGTATTTGATACGTGAGTAATTATTTTTACTAAAATTTCAATGATAATATGACTGATGATAATTATTTATATGTTTTTTTGGATATCTAGGTATCTATAAAATGTAGTATAAGATTATAATAATCAGTAGTTTCCCATTCTGAATTTGCTAATTTTGTTCTTGGTATACATAGCTCATAGGTAGTATAGTCAGTCAAACATTAAATGATATATTATATAACGTTTGAAAACAGTATGACGTATTATAATAAATATTATTTATTTATTTCAATTTTAATTGTTAAAATGTTCTTAAAATTAAAATGAATTGATTACTTTTAAAAGAAATAATAAATTAACAATTAGTTCATAATTGTAAAGTTAAATACATATTTTTAACAATAAAATTCTGGAACAGATTGAAACAATTATTTATAACTACAACTTATTGTACCTTTAAATATTTTTAAATTAGGAAACACAAGACATTAGCTTTGTTGAAAGATGGCGTTCCAATTGGTGGTATATGTTTTTGTCCATTTCTCCCTCAAGGTTTCACAGAAATAGTGTTCTGTGCTGTCAAAGTTGATCAACAAGAAAATGGATATGGAACACAACTATTGAATCATTTAAAGGATTATCATATTCAGCATAATATACTTAATTTTCTTACTTATGCCGATAAGCTAGCAATTGGTATGGCTTTTTGATAACTAATACCAGATTTTTATAACTTACTTGAATTTTTTTCATAGAATATTTTAAGAAACAAGGGTTTAGCCAAGATGTGAAAATATCGAAGAAAATACATCTAGAATATATTAAACATTATCAGGATGCAATATTCATGCATTGTGAACTAAACCCAAAAATTATTTATACTCAATTAACACCAGTGATACGTATACAAAAAGAAGTAAGTTAAATTCATATATTTCTTGCATAAACAACTAATATTCAAACACTTTTATAGATAGTTAAGAGTTTGGTGGAAGAAAAACACATGCAAATGGAAAGGCATTACCCAGGCCTAACTTGTTTCTCAGATGGTGTACGCATAATCCCAATTGAATCAATACCCGGCGTCATGGATACTGGTTGGACCCCATCAACTCGAGCTACAAGAAATAGTCGTGTCACTGAAGAATCTACTGATATTGTTGCTTTAACTAAACACCTAACAAAAGTTTTGAAATTTGTAGGTATATAAAATATAATAATATTAATAATGCAATAATTGTTTTATCACAGACTCATGCCTATCAAAGACAAAACTCGTTCACATAAAATTGTTTTTTACAATTGTTGAGTAGTAAAAATATCTATTACACAAATGATAGAGAACAATATTTTTGAAGGTTTGATTATGTTTTATATTTTATTATTACTATTATTATTTTACTTTGAGACAATATAAGTTAAACTAATGGGATGCCAAACTCTTAAAAATATTATTTTCAATCATTTTTATGACAAGTTATCTTACTGTAATTCGTAAGATTACTCAAAAAAAATTTAAAAAAATAATAATTTTGAGCAAATGCATTTTGTATATGTTGCACGTTGATCAGAGAGAAAAAAAAATAGTGTGCTGAGCTACTGATAACCTCTTAATGTATTATTAATAGCTTGTTAATCATACAATATTATTTTTTTTATCTTAGTTAATGCTTATTATTAATATTTGTATGCCTAGTATTCCTTTTTTTTTTTTAGATTGTGGATATTAATAATTTTTCTATTTAGTTCACTTTATAATTATGTCAATTTTGTTTCTTTAGGTAAAAAACAATGCATTGTCTGAACCATTTTTGATTCCAGTTGATAAAAAAGTTCCTGGTTACTATGAGCTAATAAAGTATCCTATGGGTAAGTTTTTTTTTTCAAAAATATAATTTTGTTCTCTGAATTATGGAAAATAATTTAATTATTTAAATGATACCATTCATTATTAAAATAATAGTATTATAAAGTGAATTTTAAAATATAATGTATGTAAACTGTATGTGTCAGTTAAAAAGTATTTTTACCAATTTACTATTTTATTTTTAAAAATATGTCTGAATCAAAATAAAATATCAGTATATTGATGTAAAATTGTGAACATACAATATATAATTATTATTTTTACTTAACAAAATAATATGTCACTGTTGTTCTATGAAGATTGTATTTGCTTATTATATTTTAATTAACAATTCTATTTGATTTACAGACTTGAGTACAATTAGTAAACGTTTGGCTTCAGGCTACTATGTGAGTAGAAAGTTGTTTACTGCAGATATGAAACGAATGTTTAGCAATTGTAAAACATTTAATCCAGAAGATTCATACTGGGCAAACTGTGCAGTTGAATTGGAAAAACTTTTCCAGATTAAAATGAAAGAAATGGAACTCTGGGATTACTATGTTTAGTTTTTTTTATACATTTTTGAATGACAAATATTAGTAATTTTAAAACTTCTATAGAAGATTATTTTTAAAAATTGATTTTACATAAAAGTTATTTTTATTATGTTGTTTAAGTATAATATGTTAATATTATAAAATTTTTACTTCTAGAAAATAATATCAATTAACAGTGTATTGTTTTTATTGTATTATTTCCATAGTATTAATAATAATTAGTAACTAATTAGGTATGTTGTGGCACTAGGAAACTTGGTATTTGGAAGATCTAAATTTAAAATCCCCAGTAGTTTTCAAAAGTGTCAGAAAAAATCAAAAAAAAAATAATGAAAAACTCTTTCTATACATACCACTAGTACCTATTCTTAATTTAATACATATCTGTAGATTATAATTGCATGAACCACTATAGATAATACCATTGATTATAAATACTAGTATTTATAATCAATGATAATACCAATACTAACTGGTACCTCATTATTAAGTATATAGATGGTATTTACAGCAAATGTATAAGCTGGTCAAAAATAGCCAATTTTAATTTTTAATTATGCACAATAACCAGGGTTGAGCAAAATAAAATTAAAATAGTATCATGATGCATGATACATGCATTTAGTGTATCAAGATACAAGATACATTGTGAATGTATAAAAGATACATGATACAAGATACACAATACTTTTATAGTTCCAACTAAATTGTATTAACTATTAAACACTAATAACCACAATACACAATACACTTAACTGTCTATAACACTGTACTATCATATGAATACATCAAAATGAAAAATTACATACAAATTACATATTAAATATATTTACCTAAATAAAATAAAAAAAGCACAGTTGTTGGTGACATTTCGTCATTTAGTAGGTTAGGTACTGACTTATGGTAAATGGTAATGTACATTGTACGCGTCATTGGCGCAGAGCCATTAAAATTTCAGGGGGCCAAGATTTTAAAAATCAATGTGAAGGAGGGCACGGTCCTACACAACTAAAATACTGTGTATTTTGGAAGGGCTTATGGAATATTTGGGGGCTACGCCCTCTAGCCGCCGTGTGATTTGCTATTATGACATTTATACACGTTAAAATTTAATGTTAAATTCAATGATAATAATAAATTATTCATTATTCAAAGATATCTGCCCGAAAATAGATAAATAGGTATATAAAAAAGACCCGTCAATAGTAAGTAATGAGGTGGAAATATTAAAATTATGCTATTGTACGTTTTCACAGGTGTTCTTGGGTGGGGGGGGGGCTGTCGAGGTCATGTATTCGAAATTTGTTATCAACTACACCGTAATATCGTACAATTCTTAGTTAAAATATAGTATTATACTATCATAGAACAAATCTGAACAATACTATATATTATAATATTCAGTGCAGGTGCGCAGCTAAGAATTTCAAAAGGATTACACAGATTTTCAGATTATATTATTTGTTTTAACTTTTGATTTATAACAATAATATTGTACCAACCAATTATCTAGCAGAAGACCTTTAATCATATCGATCGATACAAGTGGCGTACACACGGGTGGAGGGGTGGTCTCCCCCTTGGAATTTTTTCACCATGTATAATTACGTAAAAATAAATTAGAAAATTAAGAAAAAAAATTTTTTTTTTTATAATATTGGTATTTATAATAAATAAAATTAAAGATACACGAATTGCAGTGTTACCGTCACCACAGAGTTTCGATTAAAAATGTACGGCGAGAACACGGTCGCCACCGAAGTTATTATTAGATATCGGATATTCGAAATTTTAATTCCATTATATTATAAGCAACGCAGTTTATTGTAGACATAACTGATAACTGATTACAAATCAATGAAAATATGAAATTAATAATTATTAGGAAATTTGTTCAAACGCAAATATGAGGGTCGACAATAATTGTAGAATATTAATTATAGATCTGTGTAATCCGATTATGCCTCTATAGATAACGTTCAACATATTCAGAGAATTCAGTTAATACAAAAAAACAGACATTTATTCAACACCTTATAAATCATGTTCAATAATAATAAACTATTTCATATCGAGGTACTCAGTACTAGAAGATTCATAAACGGTAGAACATGGCTACTTCACACTTTCACAGAAATATTGGAACTAGGCAGCTCACGTTGTTCGGAATTCACCAAAAATTAAGTTATCACCTTCCACTTGAAGGGGTGGTTACCGGATTAAAAATAAGAGAATAGAGAAACGATACTTTTTCTACTACCACAGATGGATTCTCTGACAGATATGGTAATTGCAAAGAGACAACATACTCATCAGATAAAGGTACGTGGCATGATGTTATTGTTATTGTACAGGCCAACTTTAAAATATTTCTCACCACTGGGGTTGCAATAGTGAATAACAAAGAAAATGCACTAATTCTCTCAATGAGCACTTCATTTAAATGAACGGACCACAACGACATAGATCCATAGATGCACATAAAGGCAAATTAATATGGGATTTAATTGTATACAATTGTGATACACATGAATTCACAATCGTTTCTGAAACGCCAATAACCTCGGTAGTGAGGCATATTTATAAATAATAATAAAAAAAAAATGAGTTCACAATATTGTACGATAATAATTGAACTTTAAAGTTGTAACACAATTTAATAATACACTTAACTAAATTATAAAATAAAATTAGTATTTTTGAAGCTGGATAATATGTTTGCTTGTAGACTATTATAATGTTTGACAACAATCGGAGAAATGTTTATTCCACATACGTGCGCATCACGAGTTTCTGACGTAAGCATTTCTCTGATTGTTGTAAAACGTTATAATAGTACATAAGCAAACATATTATAGCAAAATGGCATAATAATAAAAATGATTTATTGTATGTTTGTTGCATGTTAAACATTTCGATTTCATTATACTGCATAAAATGATCAAAATTTGGTTTTTTTTACTGTCCTCAATTTGTTTAACATAGGATCTCATACTATATTACATCAACACTATAAATAGTATTTTTAATCGAGATTAGCACTCAACAAACAGTAGAATATAACTACAGTTGTAAGTAAATTGTGCCATGATATTGTTTCACACCTGTGGGGGAGACAGCTGCCCCGATTGCAAGATTTTCTGCTACCTTACATTTTTTTTGCAGTATTTAAATTTTAGGTAACAGTTTGGAGGTGTTCAGATTTTGACAATCTCTAGTTTTTAATGTTATCATACATTGTTCACTTATAAATGGTATATTTACCACACCACTATGATTATGGATGTCGAAATCTATAGAATTTAGATTATAAATATAATTCATGCATTTTATGTACAATTTTTATGTCATTGATTACAAAGTTTAAAATCTTAATACTCAATCTAATTACCATAAAAAACCATTTATACAGTAAAAGTTACAAATAAATACATACACTAGGTAAAAAATAAAAAAATAGATTAAACCGTATTATACCTGTTATAAGTACATAATGTACAGCAAATAACATATCCGAAAGAATTTTATATTTGACTAGTAAAGTCTTTTTTTATCATACCTTTCAACCAATATGGTTGAAATGTGTATCTCTTAATTTAACAAGAAAAATATATTTATATAACATATAGATTAAAGAAAAAAACAGTATATACAACAAAAAAGCTCAAAGTGATTTAAAAAATGGGAAACATTAATATAACATTGTAACACAATATACATTTACTGAATACTTTCTAACCAGTCTTTAATTGGTTCTAAAACTATGTCTTGAGATGAAGAAATTACTTCTGCAAACTCAACTGCCATCTGACAGTGGGTAAATTCAAAATGCTTTTTCTTTTTCCCCAACAGAGTCTTATTTTTTTTTCCATCAATACTCTCCAATTGATTTGATTTTGTTAACCTCAATGTATCCCTAAAACACAACATAAAGTAAGCATGTAATAATAAATTGAACAGTGATGAATACTTACAGTTCTTTTTCGAGCAATGTCTTGATTACTTCTGATCCTTTGGCCAATACTTTGTCTTGTTTGTTACATAGTATTATAATTTTAGTCTTGTTGGTTTGAATTGTTACATCAGTTAAAATTCTGTACAATAACCTGTAAAAAAAATGAAAATTATTGGAAAAATATAGGTATTTATATTAGTTTTCAAACTTACTCGGCCACATCACATATATCAGTTTGAACAGTTTCTGAATCCACAACAAACATAACACCTTTACAACTCATTTTGTATGCATCCCAATATTTTGTGAACACTCTTTCATGTCCTGGAATATCAACTAGGCGTAACAAGTTCTAAGAAGCAATACATAACATTAGTTCATCATTACGCTTTAATATTGGTGACATAATATATCACTGTTTTACATACCTTTTTGGTTTTAAACTCGCCTATGTTTTCCACTTGGGACGTGAAAGATTGTATTGGTTTATTGTACAATAAGTTTGAAAATAGAGCGGTCTTACCAGAATCGCACAACCCAACTAGCAGTACATCACGGTTAGTCTTACGACTCTTTTTCCATAAAACAAATAGAACTGAAAACAAAAAAAAAAAAGATTATTATAAATTATTGAACATAAAGCATTTGGAGTAATAGCTCTTGGAGGATGTGGGGTGCAAATCGTCACTCACCGACAGTGAAGAACAGAACGAGCAGAGCAACCAGTAGCTCTCTAGTGAGAAAATAATCGTTTCCCGGAGCTTTAGCCACGTTTAAAGACATGGTCGACGAGCGGTGGGTAGTCGGATAACTAATACACGAAATCAAAAATTGAAATCGGTCGTGAAAATGAAAAAACCACGACAAAAGTATGGTGTATACAACACTATAGAACGAACTTTCTAACGTTATCACTTTTTCATATCAGTCCAGTGCGTTATCAGTACATACTGTACGTCACCGATACGTCGTGTGCTCGCGTGTTCGGATTTTTGATAAGGGCTCAGACACCACCAGCTGGTTACTTTTGGCTGTACGGTATATTTTGAATTTTGAGTCGAAAACCCATATACAATTGTAACTATACACAATACCTACGTCAATTCGTCAATACACTTATTACTTTAATCTAATGGCTAATACCTACACATAATCCTTATTATTGTTAATATTTTATTAACCACACAAGTGGTAGAGTCGTAACCAGTTTTACCCACGACGACATGATAAAGTTTAATCATTGATTATTATTTATTATCATTCGTAATTCCAACATTCGCTATGTATAATATTAATTATTACATATTGTTCAATCGTTAATTAATTAGGTATGTATTCAAGTACTTAACTTAAGATAGTCATTACTCATTAGTTTAAACCAGGCACCAATTGCTATTATAGGTATACAATTGTGGTCTACCGTGCAGGCTAAAGTCTGAACGCTCGGTAAGTCGGAACTGCGATAAACTGAGGTATATTATATTATTTGTATAATTATGAGAGAATAATATGATACATTGATACCAATATAGGTACATAATAAGTTATAACTAGTGATTAAATGAATAATCTTGAATAATAAGTATATAAAACATTAATTAATCAATGATACAACTATTTGTAACTTATACTGCGTCCTGTAGAGCATAATTATTGTAAAGACTAACGAGGTCTGCGGAGATCATTATTTCTTTAAAATTTAAATTGATTTTTAATACATAAAGTTTCATTAAACTTAAATAAAATATAATATTAAAATCTTTTCTCATATACTTTATACTGAGGTATCATTGTATCAATATTAGGTTTAATATTTGAATTTTGTATAATTTTGTGATTTAATAATCTAATATAAGAAATGAGGAATCAATATACTAATACTGTCATGGTTTAAAGAAAAATATGATAATATAAACGTTCAGTGAAAATGTCATGTATCTAAGATCATTTTTTTAGAGTTATACCAAAAACCAACTAGGTATATGTGTGTCGAAAACCAATTTTGAGTAAAAATTCTCGTTTTTCCTTAATTTTTTGTTTTATTTTTAAGGGCGCTTTTGAAAACTACTGGAAATTTGAAATGTTGACCTCCAACTAGACTTTATTTCTCATCGGAAAAGGTACTGAAGTTGAAAATCGAAACATTATTTCGACTACTTGTCGTATACACAGGAATACAAAAAAACACATAACTGTAAAATCAATGCATTCATTACTCGGTGTCTCCGCTCTGAATTTAAATTCTAAGATGAATATCTACATTAATCACTGTCAATAATTGATGAATTATTTATTAATCATAAACAATTTACGATAATATGCTATTTAATTGCTAAATGATAATTTATATTTTATATTTATATATTATTACATGAGATAGTGAAATAGATAGCAATTATTATAATATAGTAAGTTGTTTCCTATGGTGCACGCATCCAAAAAATAGTTTTCAATTATCCTGATTTTGACTGGACGGGGGTAAAACTGATCGTAAATGCCGGTTCCGGGGAGTGGTGGGGTTGTGCGGACGCGCGTATTATACTCTCTCCGGTGTTGGATCGGTGGGGACAATAATCCAATCCAAAAATATAACTAAGAACCGACTTCCCGACGACGTCTAGATTTTTAATTATAGTTGCATCTTGCGCCATGCCTTCATATTAATATCGATGTCAGTGGGAAATGTATTTTTTGAACATGGGTAAGTAATGACTAATGACTATAATGACTAAAGATCCGATTATTAAGTTCATACAAATTTTAAATATGTTTCTAATTTGCTCTAAGAAAACCTTAAAATATTCTCTTAATAATCCTCAAACTGTTAAAATATGCTTAACATATACTCTTTTTGTATACCATATATAGTTACAATAGAAACATATTATGTAAAATATATACTATATATTATAATTTATAAGTAAACATTAAACTTTATAAATTTATAATATTTACATATTTTATCATATTTTATCATAATGAATAATGATAATACCATCCATTTATTGCCCACCATGTAATAATTATTTTATATCATTGATTATTGATTATTGCATAACTTTTCTTTGATGCATTATATAAATTCAGTCACACTTAAAACAAACAAACAAATTAAAAAAATTTCAATTCAACAAAAACAAATTGCAGAGCTATATCTACAATTTTTCATTTTTTAATTGAAAACATTTTGCTTTTTATATAACTAAGTATTTCAACTTGAGAAATGAACAAATAATCCAATATATTCTTTTTTATATATACCCATCAGCTTTTGTCATTACGCACTTTGGGTAATTTGATACGAGGGTTGTTATACTCGGTAAACAAGGTCTTTAAATTAGAACTAAGGTAAAAAAAAAATCCAATAGAATCATAATGGTTAAATATATATTTTTTTTTATGAAAGTAGAAAAAGTATCACGAAAACGTATAAGTGTGTGACTACCGTGGGCGGATAGGCCTATCGGGAAATCGGGATTTTCCCGCTAGGCCCCCATCAATATTATACTCTGAAGCTCCAATCCCCCCCCAAAAAAAAACCAAAAAAATAATTTTTATAATATTGGCTGGCGCCCTGACGGCTGTGCAGTATTAATGCGAATTTGTAATAATTGTATACTCCATTAGGGCCTAGGAGCCTCTATATAAACTCGTCGATATTCGTATAAGTACATATCTATTTTTTTGTAAGTGCTATTGTGTTAAAAGTTAAGACTAAATAATGCATAAAATATAGATATAAATAAATATAATTGATGTTCGAATAACGAAAAAAAAAATGGATCAAGATTTGTTAAGTAAATGTGTAAACGATAAAACTCAAAAGAAGTTAATTTTTTTTTATATACAATATATAGGCGCTAGGTTTATGTGGTTGTAATAAATATATCCTGGTAAAAAAGTACCTATCCGCCTATGCCCCATGATGACTACTACATGTATATTATTATAAAAGTGAAGGTATATACGCGCAGGTATAGGCCAGTACAAGTAGTATAACCTAGTGTCTAGACAAAAACGTGATGAATGCGAACAACGACGTTTCAGTAATATCTTAATAATAAAAAACTATACAAATAACAATAATATACAGGATGATTTTAAAAGCATGATCACCCTCTTTTAAATTGTTACGCTTAAAATGTATTCAAATTCTGATTTTGTAATTTTAAAATGTACTTTTAGACCATATTTTCGAATATTTGAGATTTTTTGTATCATTTCAGAATGAATATTCTGTATTCCTACACTTATAACTACTGTTTTTATAAAGAAACCACCATTTTTCACTTTTAATTATTTAGCAGGTATTTTTTTGAGAATTTGATATATCTAAATCAAAATTTGAGAGAATTGTGTTATGCATTTTTGTACTCATGAATAATAATAATAATAATAATATTTTTCAGTGGAAAAAACAGCGGCGTGTCGAAGGTATTATTTTGGAGCAATTGCTCCTTTCAAAATTTTTGATGGTTGGGTGGTTCCCCTGCCACAAAATACCTAGATGACTAGTTGATACATCTTAAATTGCATGTATTTTATACCTTGGCAAAATCATTTTTAAAGATTATTATCTTTAGTATAAACACTATAATAACTCAGAAACTATAGTCATTAGGATTTTGATTAAGATACATTAAAATTATCAAGAAAATCATGCGCTAGATAATTTGGAGTAAAAAAAGGGGGGGGGAGGTCATTTGAAGTAAAGAAGTTTGTATCGCCTCAGAACACTCCTAATAATTGCATAACATAACATAACACAGTATAATACAAAATACCTATATCAGAAATTTGAAAATATGGACTTTGAGCATAGGTACCTACTTAAAAATTCTAAAATTCATAACTTTCCTAAATGTACTACTCAAGGAAAAATGAGAACGAGCATGCTTAAAAATCACCCTGTACATCTCTACATAAGAAAAATAATTACGAAAACGAGCTTATCGTTGCAATTTGCAAACAACGACGGTTACGCTGTTGTCCAGCTGCAGCGTCGTCACCGTTTACAGAAGCAGTGCGCGGTGTATCAAATCATTACTCATTACTGGCCATTGAAATAACATTACATAAAACATAGGTACTGTGATATAAAATATAGCGATTTCATTGTGATTTAATTACATTAATTAGTTACGATTACGATTATTAGACCAATATAGGTACCACAGTAATCAATGCTACGCAGACCTCACTTATTGCAACGACAACGACGACAGCAATAACAACAACAACAACAACAATAATATTTTAATATCCACGACCGCGCGCGTCGTGTACACGGTACATATTATTATTTTAATCAGTCGAGCATACAACGAGCGGCACGCCCGAAGTGTATAATAGTATACTATATTATTATTAAAGTGGTTTTCGTTCTCGTCGTGTCCTGTCGGTATACCCAATAATAATAATAATAATATAATAATATTTAATATTTATCTCGTTTCGTGCCGACCGTGTTTGCGTCCGATCAGTTTCACCAGACGTGCGAGTGTGGTAAATACCGGCGGTAAGTTTGTCCCTATAATATTATTATGCATGGTTACTGTGCATAGGCTATGGCTTATTAACTTAAAACTTATACAAGTGTCTCTGCATTTTAGGCGTGTACTTATAAATAATAATATAATATCAATATCTCGTATTTACTATTCAGCCAATTGTATACCTATACAATATTATTATATAATATTACACACTGAACTGCCGCAGTTATACGTAGCAATGTGCGTACCTATATAACCTATAACTAATGCTTATATTGGGTTTTACGGATCAAGTATGTGACCATGTAATTGCTTGTACAAGTATATACATCTCCAGCCTGATGTCACATCGTACGATTTAATTTACAGGGTTAAACTTAATGTTATATTATAAGTAATAATGTATGTAGGTAGTAGGTAGGTAGTGTGTGATATGAACATGAATACTTGTATAGTTGTATATACCTACCTACACGAAAACCGGTAATTCTGAACTCAATGCTAAAATATTCCTAACCTACGATCGGGATGAATGGCCGAATAATCTCAGCTATTTTGTTGAATATCATACTGTGATGCCCGATGGCCAGATTTCAATAACCCACGAATGTGAGCTTTATAATTAACACCGAATTAGAGTACACGCATGTCATATGAACACGATAGTAGGACAACACAATATTGGTAAAACTTTTTCGGATAGTACTATTATATGGTACCATTATTGTTTTAACCTCTGTCAAGTGTGCTTGACTGCTTTATGTAACACAATGGAAGTAGAAAGATAATGGATTTACGCGTGTAGACACAATAGACAGTTTACTCCATATACAATTATAAAACAAATAAGTATGAAATGTAGATGAAGGTATACCTAACCTTATTATTGGTAGTACAGATCTGAGATAGGTAATTGATTGATGGGGGAATCTAGTATCATATATATATAGGTACACAAATCTCAAATTGAATAAATTTATAAATATATAATAATAAATGTATTAATATTGTATTGTTGATGTAGAGAAACTGTGACCATTTGCTCTTGTTCATTAAATAATAATTTATTCCAATCTAATATTCAAAAATATAATAAAAATTAACTATAGTAAATATATGCAATTTTATACTGAATCTAATTATATTATAATAATGGGTATTTGTTCATATTAGGTATAAACCTATAAAATATTTTTAGGTAGCATTAAAAAAAAGATAACGCTAGTAAATATTGCGTGCATAAAAGTAATTTATATACTATTGTGTTTATTATTAAAATTAAAAAATGTGTTATAGCTGTAAAATTAAATTAAAAGTATAGTAAAAATGCTTCAATCTTCAACTTTTTAGGTGATTCAGGGTAGAAAATTAAATCTAGTTGGTACTTGTGGTTGGGGGTTGATAAAAAACCCAATACTTTTTAAAATATTAGGAAAATATAAAAAAATATTATTAATGCTCAGTCCAAAAATCAAAATCCTGAACATTTAACACAATAGGTTCCACATAATTGTATTGTTTTTTGTTTTTATAAAAATTATTAAATTTCCAAGATGCAATGGCGTAATTTATTTTAATTTTTTGTAGACATTTGTTTAGTTCAAAATTTGACGAAATTGGTTATTGAAATGAAAAATAGTGATCTTTCATAAAACAATTTTAGTATTGGTTCACTAATCACTATGTATTGACTTGTTGTAATCCAATAAATCTTAATCATCATAATATAATTTAGGGAAATTTATAATATAATTGAAAATATTTACCATTGTGGCATTGCGTATATATAATTATTTTACTAACAGAATGAAATGTTCAAAATATTTTGAAAAATTGTATACTATTATGTATACTGCGAGTCTATAAACCTAACCTAATCTAGTTGTATGTATTTTATTTTTTATGATAAAAATTGATTAACAAAAAAAAAATACATAAAATATAAAAACACATGTGGTGATAAACTTTGGTGTGCAACGACATCATGGAGTGGTGATGATGCTTCATACTCACAAAGGGTACAGTCTTTAGGTTAATTCATAATAAAATAATTTGTATCAAACATTTATTTGCAATTGAGACCGTTCATCTATAATAAACTACGTAGGTTAGGTTAGGTTCCTAACCTAACCTATAACTACGTCAAGTGTTATAGTTATAAGAAATAATTAAAAATAGATTAAAATACATATTATTATTTATTGCATATTAATTAAGTTATGCTATAAGTGACTAAGTGACTTATTAGTTATTAGTTGTAACAACATTATTATAGGTAATATGAATATATGATATTGATATAATATTAAAATAATTATTATATAAATACATGCCGCGTTGTTTTTGAAGAAAAGTTCAACCATACGTAATAGAAAAATAAATAAGTAATAGCAGTATTGCAGAACCATAAATAAACTATAATGAAATTAAAATCCTTCAAAATAGAGGCTAACATGGTAACTCTGTTTATAATCGTTTTTCGTACCTATAATATAATAATATGGGTCATTATGTGATGGCTCATAAATTAATTCAAATTTAATACATCCATATTACTGAAAACGTTTAAGTACCTACCTACTATTTAATCAGAGAAACTTTTCCGGTTTGTATAAATTACATTTTAAACTTATACAAACTAAAATAAAAATATATTTTACACTATGAATTTAAGGATTTTATCGTTCAACGTTGTATACATCGTATATGTATCTAATATAGATATATATACGATGTAATAGATTCTATCTATATATTGATGTATATTGCTCATTGATATCTACATTTAAAAAAACTCTTCCTATTGTTGAGCATTTGCCAGCATTATTAAATTAAATAAAGAACTATTTACTGGCCAATGGATATGTACCATACAGTATATAATATATTAATATACAATCGGTGGACGGTGATACATGAGTACAGGTATGTTTGTTACCATGATCTGGTAACTTTTAATAGGTAGCATGATTGCGTACGTTTTTAAACGATTGCGTACTCGATATCTCTGGTTGACCCTTAAAAAACATTACGATTGATTACGAAAATGAGTGCAACGTTGCCAATATGTACTATTTAGTATTTACTAATACAAGTGTTATGTGTCCGTAACTTTAAACCATTTAATTTTACCGTGTACAATGTACCTAATGTATATTAATACAAATCAATAACTATATAATAATTAATATTATGTTACACAATATTTTTTTTTATAGATATTCAGATTTCAATTTTCAACTTTACAAAGTGAATGAATTGTTAAGACGTTATAACAATTAAAAATTAATAATTATGAACATTATTTAAAAAAAATAAAAAGCAAATATTTTACGCGCTATGCATTTTAATGAAAAACATTTAAGTTGCGGTTTGCAATCGTACGCACCCTATAGGTACAATTGTAAAGTTTCAAACTTAATGGGTGAATAAAAAAGATATTGTAGTATATACAGCCACGTAGGGTCGAGTGGTATCACTTGTTCGTTACGATAATGATTGAACATTTTAAAACAATAATTAAAAATATCCCATTTATCCCAATATCTAGGATTTTTACTCTGCGAGAGTCAAGAGAATTTTACACCTACATGCGTTGTCACTTGTCTCCATTTTATAAACGCATCATAATTCATAATATTGTACGTTCTGGTCGTTCTGGGTAATCAAATATCAGTTTAACTCTGATATGTTTATTATTATAGCAAATAAATTAATATTAACCTATTAAAAAAATTAGAAGTAACTAGTAAATATCTAGTGAATCTCATAGTTGTTTTTATATTTTAATTTTAAAGCGAGTCATGATCATTTTAAAATTGTCAACTTTTTGTACATCAATTTAGACTATGTTTATTCAACTGTCTGACTATGTAGGTATAAGATGCAGTTATAGCATACGAACTTCCAGCTATTTAAGGATATATATTATATACGAATATACAATAAACCTAGGACCTAGCCAAAATATATATCATATATTATAATTATAGGGGGTAAATATAAGCAATTATTTTTATTATTTAAATTTCTAGTGATAATGAGGTTGATCATAATGGATAATGCAGACAAAGTTTCGGAGTGGGCTGCCAAATATGTGGCAAAGAGGATAAAACACTTCAACCCAGGACCAGACAGATATTTTGTTTTGGGGTTACCGACGGGTGTGTCTTAATGTTTCTATTAACTATTATTATTACAATACAATTTGGGTTTTCTTAACAGTAACCAAAAACAAATAAATATTATGTCAAATTGTAGGTGGCACGCCATTAGGCATGTACGAATATTTGATCCAATATTACAGGGCTGGAGATATTTCGTTCAAGTACGTCAAGACTTTTAACATGGATGAATACGTGGGTAAGAAACTAAGAACTATACCTAATAATGCATGAAGATTAAAAATTGGAATACATACAATATAGGTATATAATAATATAATATACAATTATTTTAAACATGTCAAGTTTTGCTATTTTTTGGGTATATGACTACCTATCAAAAATTATTTAAAAATTATATTTTATAATATTCAATAATAACATACGTGCACAGGAATACCAAGAGATCATGTGGAGAGCTATCATTATTATATGATGACGAATTTTTTCACGCACGTCGACATAGATCCAAATAACGCACACATCCTGGATGGCAACGCTGTAGACTTGCAGGCGGAGTGCAAGCGTTACGAACGGATGATAGAAGAGGCTGGTGGGGTTCATCTATTCATTGGAGGTAGGTACTTGTCAAATTATTACAGAATAGAGGTACACTCGATGTAGAGAACGCGGTAAATTAATTTAAAGAAGGTATGATTTTTACATGAAATACCTACTATTAGTTCTCATAAAGTATTATTGATGCCCTAATACTCCATCCCCACCACGAGCCAAAACTTAAATAATTTAACAGTGTAAAACCTTAGTATATGAAGTCTAAAAAGATGATGTCTTTATCGCACCATTTATAATCGAAATAATAATACACGCCCGATGCCGTGTAGTAATATACAGTGCCCTGGCCAGGGAGGTTTGGATGTTTACCCCCCCCCCCCTCATTACCATTCCACCCTAATAAATGTATTATTTATATTATTTTTTTTCGAAAATTGTAAAAAAAAATATTTTATACTCAACCACTCCGGCTGTCACTCCTTTCATAACCCTGGCTACGGCACTGGAAATGAATATAATATTATTATAATCTTCTTGTCCTTGACAATATTATTACCTATCTATAGTAACATTTGTGATGTTTTATTCGGTTTGGATTTTGTACTTTACGAAAAGGCATCGGTCCGGACGGTCATATAGCATTCAACGAGCCAGGCTCGTCATTGGCATCTAAGACCCGAGTGAAGACTTTGGCCCGAGAGACATTGGAGGCAAATGCAAGGTTTTTCGACAACGACATTGATAAAGTCCCCAAACAGGCACTGACGGTTGGCGTAGGAACGGTTATGAGTGCCGAAACGGTAAGTACCCAGTAACTGATGTTGCCTTAGGTAAATACTTAAAAGTTAAAACAATTTTTTACACACTGATATATTTGATACCTTCAAGAGGACCCCACATCCGCATATGCTGTCTAACAAACGTACTAAATTAAATGTAAAGTTATTAGGTAAGATAATTATCAAGAGCAATCGAAGGATTTTATTGATTTTAAAGCTAGTTATGACAATTTTAAAATTTACGAAAATGTAGACTTAAAATGCTCATAACTTACCTTGTAATTAAAACAATAAAAACTTCTTAGTCCTTAGATATCTTATATTTAAATTGTATAGTAGGTCGATTCACTCTAGTTAAAAATAACAGAGTATTAAATAGATAGTTGTGAAAATGTGAACAATTTGCGATGTTGTACTATTATAAAAGATGCATGATGGAGCAACTCACGTGTGAATGGCATCTTCTTGATATAAATTAAGACGATTATTCTTTTAACTACAATGTTAATATTATAATTTAAAAACTATAAAGACTATATATAGGTGATTCTGTGAACTAGAGAGCATGAAAGGTTACTCAGTTGCTTGGCAAAAGTAGTGACCACCTCAGTTTCTTTCAGTGATACAGTGATGGATACTGGGTATTAGGCTTATGTATTCAGTATTAACTACTATAACTACAGTGTAGTAAAAATTCCTAGTATGCCATAAATTCACATGGCATCCGCACCATGTATCAGTCATCATAGACCTCTAGAGGCATATAGTTATAGTCACTCGTATATCACGCGAGGTATCACAATTTTTCAAAAATATTATTAGAGATTTAGAGTGGACTTTATATTTAGGGAAAAAGATAAAAAGTTTTTAATAACCAACGAATATACATTTGTTTTGCACATATAGCAAAGAATGGCCAAAAACTTGACGTTGTATAAATTATAAGAAGTTATTATTACTATTTTTTTATTTTCATAAATTATTTGGTTTCTGAACATGTAATAATGTACCAGTCTGTATAAAACTGATTTTTTTTTTAAATATTAAGACTTGTAGAAACTAAATTTTCTTCAAACTCTCTTTTTGATAAAGGCTTGTATACGGATTTATGAGTTAACAATTTATATTACGTAGGAGATTATCTACTTTTGTAAGAGTTAACTATTCCTCCATAGTATAAACAATATTTCCAATAAACAATATACATACATATTATATATTATATACATATTGTCACATTAACATGCTGTCTTAATTACTCATTGTATTTTACTAACTACAGGTTATGATACTAATTACGGGATCACACAAGGCCTTTGCTCTGCATAAAGCCATTGAAGAAGGCGTCAATCACATGTGGACCGTCTCGGCGTTCCAACAACATCCGAAAACAATCATACTATGCGACGAGGACGCTACATTGGAATTGAAAGTAAAGACTGTGAAATATTTTAAGGTAAGTTCGTACATATAATTCTAACTGCAGGCATGGATAATTAATAAATACCGAGTATATTTGTAATTGAAAAAATCAGATATTTTTCAATTCAGGTTGTTTAACAAGGTATATTAAACTTTACTTTTTTTTAATCTATTATTTTTAGCCAAAAGCAAAAGAAAATCATGTTTAAGTTTGAATTTTCAAAGTCTAATGAAAATGTTCTACTATTATTTTATTACCTTTAGTACAGACGTATAAAAAATTGTTATTTTAAGTTAAAGGTACATAAATTGAATATATTCTTAACCCCATACAGTTGATAGGTACCTAATACCTATTTAAAAAGTATTAATTTATTAACATTTCTTCTACTTTAATAATTTATTTATTTTCAAATTGCAATTGTAATTTGGGTACAGTAATAATAAGTACCTACAATAAATCACAGATGGTGATATTGCACAGACTTACCATTATTACCATGCTTTACGCCCTTACCACATAATCAATATGTCAAAAATAAATAGCTTCATACCATGATGTATATTACATACATACCTGGGTAAGTTTTGACTATGAACATAATGGAACTAATCAAACTAAAAGTAATATTTATTATGTGTAAATACTACGTATCTATATGCATGTGTAGGTATTTTAAATTTATACTTACACAAATCATAATATATATTAAAAGTTAGAATTCTTATATAAAAAATTTAGAAAAAAAGATTTCTTATAAAAGTATTCTGCAAGTTTACCTTCTTATTAGAGGATATTGATTATTAAATAATTTTTTTCTAAATCTTTGTTGCATCTACATATTTTATACACATGTTTTTTTGTTAAATAAAATATCACAGTATGACAATAAAAATGTAGTTTAAATTATACAACTATTTATTTTGATTACTTAATCATATCTTTAATCAATCTGTTATGTATTAAGAAAATACATTTCATGAATTTAAGCAATTACCAACTACAGTGTACAATTGAGTAAGCATATTTGAACTCAACACTTAAATATTATGTCTGACTTATGAGTTGAAAAAGATAAATTTCAATTTAGTTCCTAAGTAGTTATGCTCACAATACACATACTATATTAAAAAAGTAAAAATGTATAGTTAAATAAATTGTTTTTAAATTACAGGCTTTAGGTGCAGTTCATGAAAAGCTCATTGATGACAACTCAGATTCGTGATAAATCACAGATGAATAAATGATTTTTTTTAAAATGCATACAAAATATTATATCAATAATTAGTTTATCTATATAATTGTATATACTAAATAATAAATTATAAGAATTTGGTTTAAATATTCATATTTTTTATATCGAATACAACTTTTTCTTTTTAATAATAAAATTTATAAAATTATACAAGCAAAACATGCAAATTAAATACTATGTTATCTATGAATTTCAGAAATGATAAGAATCTTATATCTTAAGAGGACACTGTAACACGACATTTATCACCTTCATTTTTCTTATTTATTGTAGTATAAATACTTTGTTATGTATTAAAACATTTTAAGCTATAATTTATTAAAAACTTATATGGATACATTTTTTATTGTACGAGAAGTATTTTTGATGATATTATAATTTTAAAGTATGTTAGTGGGGAGGGAGAGGTAACTATACTTCATTATTTATTTTTTATTTATATTGAAACCTGTGATATAATAATAGATAAATGCCATATTATTGGATTTTATTATAAGTGCTTTAATTTAAACATTAGCATTAGCCTAAATCACAGTGATTTTGTTGTTGGAGATGTAGTATTGTAAATGTAATGATGATAATGATGACAAACATCACGTCTTCTCTAAACAGAGATTTAAGAAACATAATGAGATACAGAAAAGAGAGTTGAATTTTAAATCAAGAGGATAAACACAATTAAGGATTAGTAACCATTGAATAAAAGGTAATTTGAATATAACAACTTTTTGGTGCTTATTATATATTTGTATATATTTTTTTTGTTCCAATAGGTTAATACCATAAAACCAAATTACGCAGATGACAATATTTGATTAAAATACAATAATATCAATGATAATAAATAAACAATAATATATAAAAGCAACATTGAGGATTAAGTATAATAATTCTATAATATGACTATAAATATAATATAATATATAAACAAACATGTAAGTTAAGAGTTAATTCAGTACAAATTATGGTCAACCCAGGAGTGACAATATATTAATACTACATTTCAAGTTTACTAACTTCTATACCTTTCATTTATAATAATAAATAATAAGTATAACATAAAATCAGTAAAATCAGTACTGTGAGAATAAGGTAAAAAAAAAATTAATATGATTATATATTTTTATGTTTAAAAGAATAAGGTGCTGACAGTCTTATACACTTAGCGCGGCCAAACTTTAAACAATCAGAGGTAAAAATTTTACTTAACGACAAATATCACAGTAGTTGTACATCAGTATTGTTACATGCATTTCTTATAACTACATAAATTAATATGTATTTTTATCTTTTTAAATTTTGATGATTGAATTTTAGTCAATAAAAAAGTAGAAAAAAGAAAAACAAGTCTGGTCCAAATAAAAGATATTATAATTAAATAATATCACGAAACCCAGCTCTTATTAATGTCTTTATCTCTGTTATTCACAGTAATTTCACAAGAGCATCATTTTGGTTTTTATATTATGTACTAAATACTAATTGGATTTTAACATTAAAAGAAAAATAATTCATATACTCTTTACCTGATAATACAAACACATAGTATATGATTAACATGTACATTCAAAGAAATAGGGCTGTAGAAGGTAAGTAATAATAATAAGACTTTTGACTACACAAATATATAATATATAATAATAATAGAAAAGTGGAAAAATATGTCCGGAAAACAACAGAAAGAAATAATAATATGATGGAAAATTGATAGATTGTCATGTCAATAAATTTGGTAAAGTAATAGGTAAAGTGTGAAGTGTGATCTCGCATGGTTTATTATATTTGGTTTTAATGAAATACATTCAACATAAACATCAATGATATCAATTAAATAATAATAATAATAATTAACCAAAAGAACAAAATAGTGTTAAGATTAAACATCATCATATTATTAACATACATTGTGTATATATACATATAATATTATATATATATATCACAACAAATACAAAGGTACACCTAGCCATCAAATATAATATGTATAATTACTATGCGTAATAATCTAACAAAATATGAAAAATTAATACAAAGAATATTAAACAAATAGAAATTATAATAATAAACCCATTGAGCTAACCATTCAAAAAAATAATAAATGCAATCTACATTCTACAAATCTATTACCTTAATAGTTAAATAACAAGAAAAAAATATAGTATATTATTATGTACAGCTAGTTATATCTTAATTGCAAACTTTCAAAACACATATGAAATCAGAAATAATTACTGACAATATTAGGTTAATGTAAATTCTATTAAAACTATTAAAATTAATATTTTGGCTTAATATAAGTTAGTAATTTTTAATATGATTCAATATCTCTAATTAAAGCTAAAATTAATAATTATAAACTATCATACATAGCATATATAGGATCTGATAACTAAAAAAAAAAAAGTAATAGACACCGTCGTTTTGGTTATTATACTTGTGTATTATATTTGTACCGACACCCTAAGAAAGGAACTCTTATAAATTTTATATTTATTTGTTTAGTTAATGATTGACCCAAATAATTAACTTATTGTAAAAATACATATACGATATAATATCATATATACTTTTATGGTGCTTAAATTTTTTTATTTAAATTATATCACATTAACACTTATAAAAAATGTGTTTAGCCAAGTGCTTTTAAATTTTAATATTATAAAAACGTGTTTTATTATTTTATGGTCCAAGGATAATCATAATATTCAATAACATATTTTAAAACTTGTTATTTATTTAAATTATGTTAACTAACTAAACACTGAGCATAAGTATAATGGAACTAAGTCATACAAATTAATTAAGCTAATCTTTTCTAAAAATGGTTTTAATATAAATATATATAATGCATAAGAGTGCATGGCTAAAATTTTTAATACAAACATATATTATATATATATTATTAATTCAGCATGATTATGTTATACTGTCAATATAAGTAAAACTCGAAATAAAAAAATAGGTTGAAAAGTCCCTGTAAAGTATAAGATTAAAATCTAATAAATAGCTTATGTAGTGTTATACATTACTATATATGGCTATTATCGTCTATTAATCACAAAGGCGCATCTAAAGTCTAAATTAACAATTAACGTTATGTAATTCAATATTAAAACTATGTAATATATAAATATATAGTATATTGATTATTAAATTATTATTATTATTGTTATGATTGAAATAAATTCAGGCTAAAATAATGTTATATTTTGTACTTGTTGATAAAAAATATTAAAGAAGAATATCAAACCACTAAATTATTATTTTGTATATAAGTTCGTATAATTTTACTTTAAGGAATTATTATAGTTTTAAAAGGTGCGTATTATTATATTTATAGTAAAAATAAATAAATCAGAATGAAAATGTATTAGAATATATTTTATGATCAATTCATTTCAATCATCGAATAATATTGTAAAAATATCTAACTCATAACCATAAGGCAAATTGTTACAAATACTATCACCAAATATTTTCCCTAAAATAAATATCATTAAATAATTTTTCACTAGGAAAATTCGGAATATTTAAAATTTAATTAAATAGATGGTTAATAATGTCATGACTAAACAATAATTGGCCATTTTTATATATTTTATTTAAAAAATAAATAAATTGAATCAAAACGCAGCCAATTTGCATAACAAAAATAGCATTTGACATTTAAATCTATGTTTAAAAAATATACTTTTCTATGTACAAATATATCTAACACCAAAATACATATATAAATTAAAAATATGTATAGCTAGGTTAAAAACTTGTGGATAATTCTGAAATATCACACATCAACTAGAATTATGCATGCAGCTTAAATTATTAACCATATTTTAAGATAAATACCAGAAAGTGTTATTTTTATAATTGGCAATAATGGTATAATGGTATTGTAACTCAAAATTACATCAAATTGACAATGATCATAATTTGTACTAAACACTACATTTTGTAGTGTTCAAATTAATTATTATTATTACTTTGTGGGGATTTACTCTGAATTAACTTTTGTTAATATAAAAATACTAATATTTAAGTAAATATCCCAATTAATTTAATCAAACCAATTAAATTAATCAAATTATTCTAAATTTTATCATAAGTACTTATAAATAATAACTTTGTATACTTTATGAACAATACTTAAAAATATAATTCAAACAAGCATGATGAGTATATTTAGATACTATTTTAGTAACTAAAGACTTATGTCTGTTAGATAGTTTTTAAACAATTAAATATTAAATTTAAAAAAATAAACTAATAGATATAATTTAAAACCGTTAGTTTGTTAAATTTTTTTTTTTGATTAGTAAGTTATTAATGTGATATTATTAATTTAACTCCACAACCATTATAATAAAAAATAAAAACGTGGCTTATTGAAATGAACATTAATTATGTCATACATATATTTATATAATATATTAGCAATCATTGATCTTAAATCTAATAGTGACATATTTTGATATTAATTCAGACTAAAATAAATCAAAAAATTACTAAAAAGGTCTAAACCTATATTATCACCCATATTATAAAACAATTATATTTTGAATTACAAATTTTCAAACAATAATTATTGTCACTTTAAATTAAACATAAAAATTATGATATAATTATAAATACAGCCAATAATAATGCTGTGTAATTAAAAACAATAATAATAATATAAATAACAACTACATAATAAAAATATAATGTTTAGGATGATGTAATATATTTAGCTACTATATAATAAAAATATATTTGATGGAAATCGTTTCTCTAATATTATATTCAAAATAATAATAAATATAAAACAAAAATTGTCAAATAAGTAATTAACATTCTGGTAAAATATTTTAAAGGAAAAGATTAAGTAATGGCAAATCAGTTTTATTTAGATGATATTAATTATTGTTTTTTAATTAGGATAATATCTAAATAAAATTATTGTATAGAATATTTTACAAAGAAAAAAAATTTTTTTTACTAAATGTAGCATGAAATTTCTTGACCAAATTGCAGAAAATATGTTTATAGTATATATATATATAGTTTATAATATATATAAAATGTCAATTCAGATATTATTTAAGTGAATTAAATTAAATTAAATAATTAGTAATATTTTAGTCTGAAATGTCACATTTTGGGTTTCGTTAAACTGGTTAACGAATGCTATTTTAAAATTACAAATTGAAAAAAAATAGTTCCATACATATCTTAGTATAATATATTTACATAATAATGAGAGTACATTACTTTATGTGTGTACAGGATCAGTTGTTAACATGTACAGAGGTCTGATTTTAATGACTAGATGATCTGTGTTGTTAAGTAGTGGTGCCATTAATTCACTGTCAGACCTAGAAATATTGTTAAAGTACAATATTCACATGTTAATGTATATTAATACTAAAGTGCTACATAAATATAATTAATTAATAACAATTATTTTATAAAATTACAAGGTGTTAGTGTCAATGATATTTCAAATGATAATTA